CGTTGCAACATGTGGAAGGTGCTGTTCCAGCGTGTCTCCACCTGAAAATAAAAGGTCATTATTGTTTGAAAGGGGAGTGGAAGCAGTTATGGATGTCAACTTACCTCTTGAATGAGCTTCAGCACAGGCTCTGTAGGCATCATTTGCTCCTGCACCTGTGTCAGCCTTGTCTATAAAAATTAAATATGAAACAAAACATTATTCAAGTCATTTTGCATTAATTTGAATACTGCTGTGTAATCAAGGAATTCACCTTTGCAGTGGTACTGCTTTTGAAGTAGCCAACTATCCTCCTACACTGAAGACGGATCTCAGACAGCTCAGTGTTTTCTGCCAGAGCCTTCTTCACGATCAGATTTAATGTGTGCGCCACACAAATTGTAATGTTGTTCATTGTAAAATGAATCGGAATGAGTTGAGGTTTGGAGATGCGAGTTGAGTGTCAGCGTCACCTGTGAGCTCATTATCGTCCCGGTGCGCTGAATTTATTTCGATTCACCCGCGAAACTATTTGTGGGCGGTGACGTAGGAATCCCGTCCCGTGAGGCTTCGGGCGGAGCAACGCGCGTTCCGAGGTATCGGGCGTGGCCACAAGCGTAATCGACACGCGCCTCAGTGCGCGCTTCGCGGATTTTCTTCCGGTTTACTCGGCACACGCATCGGTCCCTCGGCACAGTCGGGCACATCACTACTCCCAGCCCAAGCACTCATTGTCGGGTCATTGTTTGCTGTTGGCTGCTGTCATGTTTGTTTCAGTCATGTTTCTGTTATTGATAGTTTTGAGCTTCAGTCATGGTTTTTGTTTGATACTTTGGACTTTGTTTAGGATTTAGTTTTCTCTGTTTTAATACAATTCGTCAAGTACACCCTGCTCCTGCCTGCTTTTTGGGGTCCACCACCACCTCGCAACGTGACACGGGGAGAACATGCAAACTCCACACAGGGAGGCCCGAGCTGGAATCGAACCCGGTTCCTTTGCACTGTGAGGTAGAGCTAAGATCGGTCCTAAAAAATCGAGCCCGAGCCGAACCCCCCCCCCCCCCCCACTCATTGGTGAAAAATAAAAATTTGAAAAATATTCTGAATAGCTGCCAGAAATCATCTCAAAGTCAGTGTTGTGTCCAAGGACCGGCAACCCGAGGCCAAGGCCAAGGCCAAGGCCAAGGACTTGCCTCCGAGGCCAAGGCCAAGGCCAAGGACTTGGAAAATTTTCCGAGGCAAGGCCAAGGCCAAGGACTTGAGAAATTTTCCGAGGCCAAGGCCAAGGACCAAGGACTTGCTTCCGAGGCCAAGGCCAAGGACCAAG